AGTCCTGCCTGCCGCACGCAGCCAATCTGGGGAGAACACCCAGCCTCATCCCCACAGGCAGCCCTTCAAAGCCACATGCTGGGGCCCAGGGGTGAGGCCTGAGGGCTGCCCACAGGGCAGGGGCTCTTCCGTTTTGGGGACCTGGCTTGGGGGAAGAAGGGCCTGAGTATGGGGACCAGTCCTTCCTCAGAGAGACCTCAGGAGGGGCTGGGGTTTTTGTCGTCCCTTCCTACTGTGCTTGAAGAAGCAAGTTACCCCAAGGCACAGACCCCAGCAGCCGCCGCCCTGGAATAGGGAGGAGAGCGAGCCAGGCGAAGCCAGCAATAGCTTCGGCAGCCCGGAGCCAACGAGGTCCGGGCCAGAGCTACCGGACTGAGGCCTGGCTGCTCGCTCGCCGGCCTCAGGGAGGGGCCGTGGTGGTCGTCCTGCACAGGGATCTGGACAGCGGTCAGGTCCTCAGGACTGGGCCTGGATCCGGCCCTCACCCCTGGTCAGGGCCGCCATAAAGCTCTCACCCTCACCACCCCACAGAAGGCCGCTGTGAGAGGGAATATGGGAACACGTGAATCACGGCTGCCTTTTATTGCATGCTTCCTCTGTGCCATCCACGCTGGCACTCACAGATAGCAGCTCCAGCCCCACGACAGGCCCGAGAGGCAGAGCCATCATTAACTCCGTGTCACAGATGGGGCACCAACGCCCTGAGAGGCCGCGCCTCGCCCAAGGCCACAGCTGGAGAGAGGAGCTGCTGCCTGATCCTGCTCCTCCTCACCTGTGTGGCAACTTCCCGGCAGCCCTCACCAGACCTGCCTGGCACCGCCCAACGGCATCCCAAGATCCTCCAAAGCTGACGATCGCAGCCCAAGCAGGCCCACGGGTCACCAACCAGCAAGCCTAAACTCCAGGCTGTCTCTAGAGCTGGCCTGGCCCACGAGGGGCTCAAGCTTCTCCCCAGGTCGTCCTTGGCAGGGTTGGCCAGGCCTCCATCAGGCGAGGCCTGAAGCCTTTGTGAGGGAGTCGAGCAGCTGGAAGTAACTATACTTGAGGTCATAGTCCATGTCGTACCAGAAATTCACTGTGGGGAGAGTGGGGACCGAGCATGAGGGTCCCTCCCTTAACCTCCTCCCAGATGTCCTGCTGGGCCTAGGCAGGACCTGCCCCTGGGGCCTGGGCAGCGGCTCACCAGCAATGCAGCCGTGGGACTGCCGGACGTGGTGGAACCACAGGGCCGGCAAGTAGAGCATCTCGCCAGCCTGCACCGTGCAGTGAAGGGCCTGGGCCTGACTGTAACTGGGGTAGCGGGCCAGGTCTGGGGCCAAGGGGTCCAGAGGGATCCAGGGCACCTGGGGACACAGTGGGTGCCAGGGAGCTGGCCTCAGGGCCCCTACACCCTTGGGTTCCATCCCTTCCAAAGGCAAAGACCAGGGGCCCTGCTCTGCTCCACGCTGAGCCTACTCATGGGCTTCTGTGAAAAGGCTCCTCCCTCACCCCCAAGGTCTTTCGTGCTTGCCCTCCCAGTGCCCAGGACCAGAACAGACACCTTCTCCGCAGACTCTTCATCCACCATCTCAAAGGTACCCTCATCGGTGAGCTGGTAGGTTGCTGGTGTGTACAGCTCTGAAGCCCAAGAAGGGGGAAGGGGAACCTCAGACAGCCTGGAGCATGCCAGCCCCTCCTCTGCCCCAGCCACCACCAGAGGGTCAGGGATCCTGGGGTAGTGGGGTCGCTGCAGCCACCCTACCGTAGGGGATGAGGGGCCGATCGCTGGGCGGGTGTAACAAGAAGCGCTTCTCTCCCGAGACCACACAGTAGAGGTTTTCGTAGTGGTCCTTGTGTACTGCAACAGAGGCCCAGGGCCGGTGAGGGCAGCACATGGGGACAAGGGGCCGCACTCACAGCCCTGCACCCCAGACTGCCTGCTGTAAAAGTAAGGGCACCCAGACGGCCAGCAGCTCGAGACACCACAGGGCCTGGTGGCATCCAGGGACTTGGCGCCCACCAGGCCTCGCTCATCTCTGCCACGGGGGGACAGGGAGCCCACAGGGCTCTCCTCAGTGCACCCCAGGCCCAGCTGGCCTCCAGACAGCCTTCTAGGGACCCAGAAGAGACAGGGCGCCCCACCAGCACCCCCACCCCAGCGGTCAGGGCAGACCCTCTGTGGTGCTAGAATCCCAAAGGCCATCTCAGAGAGCAGCCTGCCTGCCCTTCCACTCCTGCGCCTGTCGTCCCTCCCTCGGCCCCCATCTGCTCCTCCCCTACACCTACACGAGGTCACGGCAGCAGCCTCTCCCAGCCAGAAGTTCACAGCATCAGGCATCCTTCCTGCGGGTCAGAGGAGTTAGGGAGGCCAGGCGGGGCTAGCCCCATTCAGGGGTGCTGGAGCAAACACCTGGGCGGGAAGCCAAGCAATCCCACAGAGCAGGAGCTCAGTCAAGGGCCCTCTCCTGAGGCAGAAGGAAGGGCAGTAACCTTTAACAGTCCATCTCTCGGCAAACCAAGCTCCAGGTCTGAGCACTCAGTGCAGCACCCGACCCTGCGGGGCCAGCCTGCAGGCCCAGCCATCTCCAAAGGGAGAATGTGAGCAGCAGGCTGCCCCACCCGCCCTGCTGCCACCTGTGCTCACCCAGCGCCTCAGAGGCCCAGGGCACATGGGGCTCGAGATCCGGCAGCAGCTGGGGCAGCTCAGTGGGCAGGTTGGAGCACTGCTTCTGCACGTACAGGACCCCTGGGTGCTGGGCCCGGCCCTCCAACACGTCCAGCACACAGCTCAGGGGCAGGTGGCGCTCGGCAGGCATCACAAAGCGGTCCCCTCGCACGGCGTCCGCGTAACCATCTGGCGTCACAGCCACGCTCACTTCTGTGGAGCCCACTGTGGCTCTGGAGGAAGGGATGCCCAGCTCATGCCCAGATGCCAGTACACAGGGCCCACGGCCCACCCCACAGCAGCTCCCACCTGAGGTAGGGGAGGGACCACTTCTCGAGGGCAGGCCAGTGCTGCAGGGCATTGCGGATGATGCAGGGCCTATTGGGGCAGACCCAGTCCCGGCAGAAGCTGAGTGGAGTCGGCGGCTCGTCCAGGTAGGGCACAGCAAGAGGCACGCTGAGTTCTGAGAGAAAGAGGGGAAAGGGGGCTGCAGAGCACCACCCAGTCCCTGACCCCATCTGCTAAGAGATGCCTCCCTGGGAAGGCCACACTGTCACTGTGCAATGCCCTCTGTGACTAAGGGACTCTGGACAACCAGGAATAGAAAAACGAGGGACGTCTATATAGAGCACACACAGCACACCAGGATGGGCCCTGAGAGTCCACGGGGCCAACCCATGACCCAGATTCTCGGTGGGGCCACATCTGGGCCCCACTCAGGGGACCCGCAGTCCTACCACCTGGAGGGCCATCCGTAAGGAAAGGCAATCTCTGAGGTGGCTGGGTGCTCCAGAATGAGGAGCCTACCTGGGGAGACAGACTATTAGAGAACACTGAGGAAGAGGGCTGACTGTGGTGTTGGTCTGAACAGATCACCACCCTCACACACGGGGCCACCATGTGTGCTGGGGCAAGTCGTGCCGTGCACCCCTGTGCAGTGTCTGTCATGGTCCCGTGTCACTCGTACAAGTTCTTTTTTTCTTTTTCTCTTTATTTTTTAATGTGCTATAGAGTGTGCATGCTTGCCAGAAGGAGGGGGGAAGTAAGAAAGCACCAGCCAGGAGGGACAGCCATGCTGCAATCCCTTTTCCTTCATTCTGTCGGGATTTTGGGCACGTATGCATGTACACACGCCTGGTGTTTCTTTCAAGTCACTGGGTCTGGGACTTGAATCACGCAGTTGGCTATGTGGTATCTAGCTGCCTTCACCATGTCACCAGCTGGCCCCCAAATTTCTTCTTGACTCAACCTCCGATCATCCTACAGACTCTAAATCCTGTTGATTCTACCACTGCTATGTCTCAAACGGGCCCTCTCCCTCTCTTCTCCACTGATATCCACAGTCAAGATTCCTTCTTCAGGTCCTCACTCAAATGCCACATTGACGAGGCTTCTTTCTGTGGCCACCTTTGCAAACCTGTAACCTGCCCCGCAACAAGCTTTATATCCGCTCTCTGTGCCTCTTCTCAGCCTTTATCGCCACCTTGCAAACTACACATCCCGCATGTAAACTGCTCATTGCTCCGTCCGCTCTGTAGAACACAAGCTCCATGAGGAGAGATGCTGATCTTCACAGGCTCGTCCAGGACCCCGCACACAGCAGGTGCTCAGTACACACTTGCTTACTGGTTGAATGAAAGTCTGCAACACCCTGGCTACGTGGCTGGCTGGCACAGTGAACTAACTAGTTTCTCTGGCTCATTTCCATTTCCTCTCAAAGCAGCCATCATCCTGCCACCAGTCATCTTAGAAAAACATAATCTCATCTTGTCACGCCCCAGTAAAAAATCCTTTGATGGCTTACCACTAGCCCTTACAGGGTACAGTCTGGCAAGGCACCCGTTCCACAAGCTCCCAAATCAGGCCCAGCCTACTCCTCCCGTCTGACCTCAGGCCTCCTGCCTGCCCGTCCCTCCTGCTCATTCAGACCCAGTGTCTTCCTCCTGGCTTTGATAAACAGTGTGGGGCTTTGTTATTCTCAGCCTGGACGTCCTGTGGGGTTATTCCTTCCTACCCCAAATGGCCCTGGGCTCATTTTCATCTCTGAGGCCATGCTCCATCTCACACAGCCGCGTCTGCGCCGACACCAACACCTCTGCCTTGCAATCAGTGGGAAAGAGAGTACTTTCAGATCAGAATTGGAACTGAGGGGACGACCCTGGTGGGCCAGGAAAACTCACAAGAAAAGAAGAGCTGGCACCTGTGCTTGCTTCCCTGCCAAGAGGCAAGACAGAGCCTGCCAGGTAGATATGGGAGGAACATGGCAGCAGTCTTCCCACCCCTCCCGCACCATCACAGCAGCCTCCCCGGGGAAGCTGACTGGGGACTTTGCACTTCTCCTTATTGTGCTGGCTGGGAGTTGGTTTGGTTTATAATTCTTTTTTCTTCATTCATGATAGAGCTAGTGTGAATGCATGTGAGAATGAGAGAGTGTGTGTGTGAGAGAGAGAGAGACCTTCCACAAGTTCTGATCTTGCCACAACCCCCTTTTCCCAATCCTCCAGCCCCTTGGATAGTGGGCACTCACGCACGTGCCCAGTGTTTTCCTGCAAAGCCAGGGAGCACACTGCAGTCACCATGTAGGGATGGGCTTCTCTGAGTAGCACATGACTGCTGTGCCAGGGAGTCAGGCCTGATTTCTTAAAATATGCAGACACTATCTTGTTTTAAAAAGTTTTTGCTATAGGGTGTGTGCACTTGACGGAGACAGAGAGGGAAAGTGAGAAATCACCCCTGGGGAGATGACCATACCACAGTCCTTCTCTATTCGCTTGGGATTTTGGTCATGCCTGTGTAAGTGACCAGACTGATTTTCTTTCTTTTTTTTTTTTTTTGAGAGGTTTTTGCTATATTGCATGTGCGCTCGCCATGGCCGACCACAGTTCGAGTTCCGAACCAGGCAGCTTACTCTCTCTCTCTCCATCTTTCTCTGGCAAAGCTCATGTGAAAAATAAATAAATAAATGAATGAATAAAATAATTTTTTTAAAAAAGAGAGAGAGACAGAAAGTGAGAAATCACCCCCCAGGGGGAGTGGGGGGATGGCCACCTCACAATCCCTTCTCCTCCATTCTCCTCTCAGGATCTTGGGCACGCACGCACACGCACCCGGCCTGAGTTTAAGCCACCAGGTCTGGGACTCGAACCACGGTTGACTACATGGGAGTCCAGCAACATAACCATTATGCCAACTGCTGGTCCCAGCTTAGAATGATTTTTAAGTCACCAGGTCTGCGACTTGAACCATGGTCCACCATGTAGGAGTCCAATGCTACCTGCTGGCTACCAGAAACTCTTACTTCTTACCCTTTCTCACCATTTCCATTAAAGAGTAGTTACGTTTCCCTCCTGGGGCTTCAAGTGAGAGAATTTCAAAAGGGATCCAACAATTTGCACAATTCTGCTAAGAATTTACCCAACAGAAATACGCACATGCACAGACGCTGCTCCAGGCACACCGGCTTCCTCACTGTTCCCTGAACATGCAAGGCACACTCTCACCCAGGCTTTGCAGGCCCTGCACTTAACTCTCTAAGCCATCCTGTATCTAGTTATGTGGTTATTTTGGGTGCCTGTGGGTAACTGTCTCCTTGCTTACATGTGAGCTCTACAAGGCCTGAGATCCATTCTGTTCAGTGATGTATCCCAAACACAATGAACAGACGCCGGCACAGAGCTCCTTACTAAATATTTGTTAAATAAATATTTTAATACATAGCAGTGTATTAAAAACTGATGGAAAATAACCTAAATGACTACCAAGAATGGGCTGATCCAGTACTAGTACACAGGTGTGAAAAGACGGAGGTGGAGGGATGTGGAATGATTTCGAAGATGCTCAGTGCAGAAGAGTGTTTAGCAGGTTTGTGTGTGTGTAAAAAGGGGTACAAGGTGGTTGGTGTACGTTCGCGGATATAAGCGGACTCTAGAAGGCTACAAACCTGGCTGGAGTGGGGTGGGAGGGAAGCTGCTTCATTTATACGTGCGCCCCTGTTATATGCATGCACATGTGCCTGGGGTGTTGTTCGGTGGGAAGAAATCATTTAAAAATAGGGAGAAACAAAAAAAATTAAAAAGGGGAGGAAGGAGGAGACGAGCCAGGGGTCAGTTTTAACAGGCACCTCTCAAAGCTCTGCACCGCTCACAGGCTGGAGGGCTCTGTTCTGAAAGGCGGCGCTGATTCCCTCCACCTGGGGTCGAGACAGCGGAAATCCACCACCACCGGTGTAGGTGTCATGTTATGAGCGAGGCTTCAATGCGGAAAGGGCAAGGGACCGCCTGGACTTTACACGGCGCGGGCTAACTGGGACACAGGACAGCACGACGACAACGGCCCGGAGACCGGCCCTGGGAACAACGCGACGACACCAGAAGCCACGACGCCGTGCGGACCGGAGAGGCGCGGCGCCGAGGTCCCACCCACCGGCTGGGGAGAGGGCGGCGACAGAAGAGCGCCCTGGTGGGGCCATCCGCCGGGCAGACGCACGAGGTTCAGGGCTCCCGATGTCAGTGGGCGGGGAGGGACTCGGATGCCGGCAGCCCAGGACCCCTCCCGCGTCCTGAGTTTGCTGCGCGCTTCACAAAGTCGCCGCAGCCTCTGGGTGAACCCACTCACCCCTTGCCGCGGCGGGGAATTCTCGTAACTCCCTCCGCACCGCGTCCAAAGCCGCCTCCGCCATGACTCCGCCGCGGGCCAGAGGTCCCGCCCCGGGATCCCGGAGGCCCCACCCCCCGACCCCGGCTCCGCCCCAGGCCACACCCCCGGCCTTCCCGGACGCCCCGCCCCAGGCCACACCCCGGCCCTCCCGGAGGCCACGCCCCAAGCGCCCGCCGGATTCCGCTACCGCAGCGTTGCCTTTTCTTGCCTCTGGTTGTCACCGTAGTTAACAAATGATTGTGTTTATTGACAGCTTCATACATCGGTACAAACGGACACGTTAAAAACAGGCCCCGCCCCGTGCAGCAGAGGAGGAGGGAAGCGCCATGGCCTGGACAATGTATAAAAGTTATAAATAAGGGACTTCCAAAACTGGGACGGGTCAAATCTGGATCGGGGTAAATCTGGACCGGGGTGAGGGTGGCGGCGGCGGCGGCGGCGGGCGCCCGGGGTCGTACGCCCTCGGGTGGCCTTAGACATGCAGAAGGGGACAGGACGCCAAGACGGCCATGAAACCACCACCCCCACACTGGGGAGAGGGCAAGGGGATGGCGGCACCTTCTCTCAAACATTAGGAGTGTAGTTCCTTCCTTACGAAGGACAGGCTGGCTGAGGACCTCGAAGAACCTGGCCCAGAGGGCAGTGGCCGTGGCTGGAGTGCAAGGTTAGGAGCGCAGCGGAAGTGGGTCACTAACCCCCATATCAGCAGCTGCAGCCCTGCAAGGGGACTACCCCAGGCTGCGAGAGCGCTGTGGGCAGGATTTCACTTTAGCTTGGCCATGTGCGGAGTGGCGGTGTGAGCCAAGACTGGGGGCCAGACAGGTTTTCATCTGATCAAGAGCGTGCAGTCTGAAGCAGTGCAGATGGGCACCCTTCAGGGCCCAATTTCTCTGCAAGCCTCTGCCTGGAGGGCCCGCAGCAGGAGTAAACAGGCTTTTAAACGGGCAGAGGGAAGGACCAGGGCCCAGAGACACACAGCCTTCACTCCAGCACTTCCACCACTGCCTCACTACTTAATCCCACTCTACTTGTCTGCTGTGCCCTCCTTCCCTTCACCCCTACATCTGCCCTAATTCTGTTCTATCCCCTCACCCCTATCACCTGCCCTAATTCTACTCTATCCCCTCGCCTCTGCTACTTACCTGTCCCACCTACCAACTTTCCAGTGTGTCTCTGAGCCCTGCACCTCCTTTCCTTCAGCCTCCAGTATCCAGAACATCCTTGGGTCCCCAAGCACTACTTTGAGGAGGCTCCCTCTACCCAAACCAGGTGTCCTAATGGCCATCTCACACCAGCATGGCTGTGGACACCACAAACCCAAAATCTGGGTTTGGTATGTTCTGTCAGCTGTTTGTGCTCCTGGATATGCATTCCACATCACATGGGAGGTGGGGCAGGGGCAAGACATGAGAAAACCAGGTGCACACCAGCCAGCCAGGCCCTGCAGCAGTACTCACTCAACTCTGCATGTGTGTGCATGTACATGTTTGTGGAGGTTCCATCTGTGGCCAGTGCCTTCTGAAGGTGGGCCAGCACCCTGTAAACCATGAGGGAAGTTGCTACACAGGCTTCTGGCTGAGCATTATTCAAGATGCAGGGAGAAGGTGGCCTCAGGTCTCCGGCAGCCTGCTGAGGGCTAAGGAGGGGAGGCCAGGGCTGCCCATTTGCCCAGCAGAGGACTTTACTGTCCTGCAGCAATGCCCCACAGCTGGTTCCACAAGTTCTGGACAGGAAAGAAAGTGGGGCACGGGGAGAGGGGCAATGCTAGGGCCCTCTTGGAGGGAGGGTGAATGGAATGTGGGGGCTCAGGTCTGGATACCTACTCAAGTCTCCCGATGGCTGGGGATGCCCTTGGGAGCCAGATGGCTCTGCCTTTCTGAACTGCCAAGAGTTGGGGAAAATAACTCCTGCCCTGGCAGCAAGGGGAGTGCAGCTGGTGTGGGAGGGGAGGTGGAGGTAGAGGTGAAAGTCCACAGTTGGCTGAAGGGCACAGGATAGCACGTTGCTTCTCACCTCTACCCCAGAGTACCCTGTGTATGCTCCACCCCATGGAGCTGATCCCTGCAGTAAGTTCAAATGGCTTCGAAGAAGAAAGGACCCACCTTTCCAGGTTTGCCCTGGAAGGGGCAGGCTGCCTTCCTACCCCTGACAGCACCAAGATGACAAAGACCCAAGACCTATCCCTGCCATGAGACACTGGAGGGCCATGGAGGCAGGAGTTCGAAGGAAGTGAGGCAACGGTCAGGGAAATAAATTAATAAATACAAGGGCCCTGTGAGAAGCAGCTGGGAAAGCTGTTCACCTTCCACCTCCGACCCCTGCCATCTCTGCAGGTTTTGGTGAGTGGAAGAGGGGAGTGTTCACTAGGACAGGCTGGAACTCAGAGCCTGCGCTCCATGCGCCGCTCCACCGCTCGAAGCAGCAGCTCTGAGTACTGCTCTAGCAGGGCCTGGGTCTGCTCTGCTCCCACAGCCCCGGGGCTCCCAGCTGGGCTGGACAGCGCAGCCCCAGCCAGGACCTCTAGCTCCTGTCGCACTGAAGAGAAGGTGTCTCTGAGGAGCTGAGCGATGCGACTTTGCTCTGCCGAGGGTGTCTTGCAGCCAGCCACCTGCAACAGGAGCCCCAGAAGTGAGTTGGAGAAGCAGTGGACCAGCCCCACCCGGATCTAGCCTACTCAAGAGCAGAGAATATGGACAAGGATGTGGGATGCAGGCAGACTTGGGGGGTGACCCCAAAGGAGGAGCCCATCAGATCAAGGACCCTCCTACATCTCCTGAGCAACTCCCCAGAAATCACACTCCACTTTCTCTTTCAAAGCCTGGGTCCTGTGAGACTGCCATGCACAGCTACAGTGGCCACATAACTTTTGGATATGAAAAGGGATAATGTTAAAAACTACACGGGGGGTGGGGGGGCAGCAGGTGGAGTGGTGGGTAAGGGCACTAGACTCCCACATGGCTGACCGTGGTTTGTCCCGGACCTGGCATCTTGCTTTCTCTCTTTCGCTCTCTCTCATTCTCGCTCTGTCCCTCTCTGGTCAAATTGAAATAAATAAATAAAATAATTCTTAAAAAACAACAACAACTACACGGGGACAACACGCTTGTACAGGGACTGCCTGGGCCAACTGGGACATGCAGTCTCTCGATGCCTCCTCTCCTTCCTGAGGCAAGTCTCCAGCTCCTAACCGAAAATGACCCAGAGGTGCCTGGTTCAAGAGGTTTGGCCTAGCTTCTAAACCCCTCACCTACTTTGCCCAGGATGTTTTTGAGGGCCCCACAATGTCAGCAGAAGACCCTTTTTTTTTTAGTTTGATATATGGCATGTGTGCTCACCGGAGAGAGACACTGGAGAACAGCAGAAAAAGAGAGAGAAAATGAGAAATCACTCCCCTGGAGGAATTGCCATGCCACAATTCCCTCTTCCATTCTCCTTTGGGGATTTTGGGCACCCATGCACTGTTATTTTCAAACTACCAGGTTGGGGACTCAAACCAGACAGGGATCCAGCTGCCTTAACCACCATGCCACCTGCTGGCTAGTCCTGTCATCCTTTTATTTATTTATTTATTTAGACATTTTTGCCATAGGGCATGTGTATTCACTGGGGGAGAGGGGGAGAGAAAGAGACACAGAAAGGGAAAGTGGGAAATCACCCCCCTGGGGGGGGGCTTACCCACACCACAATCTCTTCTCCAGTTTCCTCTCAGGATTTTAGGCACACACGCACACGTGCCTGGCATGATTTTCAAGCCACTAGGTTTGGGACTTGCACCACAGTCAGTCATGTGGGAATCTAGCACTTTAAGCACCATGCTATCTGTTGACCCCCTTGTTTTTTTTGTTTTTCTAATTTGCCAGAGGGTGCATGCATTCACCAGAGAGAGGCAGGGAAGGAGATAGAAGAAAGAAAGTACCTCCCCCATGAACAATGGTCACACCACAATCCCTTCTCCTGCCTTTTTCTATCCTTTTGGGATTTTGGACACACACACACACATGTGCCCAGATTACAGCATAGCAGGCCACCCCAACCACCACGTCACAATATTCACGTCACAATCTTTCTCCATTTCTCCATCCTTTCAGGATTTTGAACATGCGCCTGGCATGTTTCTCAAGCTGTATAGTCAGCCATGTGGGATCCAGCCCCCTTAACCACCATGCCACTGGCTGGCCTAAGCCTTATCATTCTTGCTCTGGACACTCAAACTTTCTTAAACACCTAGCACCTCTGCCACACCCTGTCTTCCCACTAGTACATGCCCAACACTCACCAAGTGGTAGAGCCGCATGGCCTGGCGCATACTGCCACGCAGTTCTGCCACAAGTTGTTCGCACTGCTCCAGGCTCACCGCCAGTTCTGAGGGACACATATGGCACAATGAGGTCCAGCAAGCTGTCCTTCATTTCTCCCCACCCAGGAGCACTCAGAGGAGGAGAGGCCTACCTGCTCTAGGGACCCTCCCCTTGTCTCTTTCTCTTCCCACACCCCATCCCAACACCACACAGACAACAAGGTCCAAAGGAGAGGGTCAGCCCAGCCCTTGGTCCAGGAGGCACTGAAGAGTAAAATGGGTTCTGAGGACATCGTGAAGGTTGGTGGAGTGTCTCACCATCAGGGTGTGACTTAGGGACCGAGACAGGAGCAGACAAGACGAAAAATGCCAGAGGCTAGACATACACAAACGGGATGGAGCCAGAGAGTGGCCAACAGAGACAGGAGCAAGAGCACGGGCAGGAGGTAAGGCTGAGAGCTGTGCACACCTGAGTCCTGGCTCAGGGCCGCCCCTGGCCTGGTGCATTCCACATGGTTGGGAGTCTTCTCAGGGGGTGGGGGCTGTGAGTTCTCAGGGCCTCGGAGGAGGCTGCTGTCTGGCAGGTGCTGGGCACAGGGGCTGCTGGGCCCAGGGTTAGCCTGGCACTCTGTCCTAGGCTTGGAAGTGGCATCCTCCCCCAAACAGGTCCACCTCTCAGATGTACTGTGAGTTTTTCCTAGGCCCGCTGGGGAGCTGGGCCTTTCTGCTTCACCAGGGGCCCGGCCCTTGGTTACAGGTGAGAATGTGGCCAGGGTAGGACGGTCAGGGAGTGGTTTGGGGATGTCCAGGACCAAGTGAGCCCGGCTGGGTAGGGCCAGTTTGCCGAGTGGTGAGACCCGAATGGGAGCAGGAGCTTGAGGTTCAGCTGCCAGGCCCAGGTTCTCCCCAACAGAGATGCTGCGGGATATCTTGGCCATGGAACTGGTGGTGGGGTTCTGGTAGGAGTGGGGCCGAGATGCGCGACCACTGGTCTTGGGCAGGGAGCCCAGACAATCCTGGGCTTCGATCTCCTGTGAGAGCAATGGGCCTGACAAAGGTACCTCATCTGCAGAAGAGACAGAGACACGCAAAGGTCAGATGGTGAGGAAGGCATTCCAGGTGCTAAGGCCAAGCCCTGCTGCTCTCCTGCACACACCCTCTGAGGGCACCAGTGGCAGGCACCTGGGTACCAGGGACAGATCGGGGCTACACCAAACTCTCCCTCCTCCCATATGTACATGTATATCCCACTCCCACACCAGAGGTGAGCCCGCCAGGCTCCTCACCCTGTTGTACCAGGTTGTGTACAGACTGGGCTTTCTGGAGTCCAGCTAAGGGGCTGGCTGTGGCCACTCTCTTGGGGACCCAGCTGCTGTCAGGGTTGAGGCGGCGGCGTGGCAGCAGCACAGGAACTGCCTGCTGGGGGCTGGGGTGGCCAGGGGAGGGCTCCATGTCTGGGGGTGCTCCTGGGGGGGAGGCGCCATTGCCTCTCAGCTGCTCACTAGATGCCAGAGGCACCTGGACTGGCCTCAACACCTGTGCCAGGCTTGAAGAGGAAGGAGTTGGTTCCCTACAGGGAAGAAATATGAAAAAGGGCCAGGAAAGACTCTCTGTTCCTCTCCACTGACATGGGAAGAAGCTCTCACAGCTCAGATAGGCACTAGGAGAGGAAGCACAGAGCAGGGTTGGGGCGAAGCCCACTATCTCCAAACCAGGAGTGCAGAACACCCCACATAGGAAGACCAGCGTGGAGAGGAGGACTGCATGCTGCCCCACAGGCAGGCGCTGGGAGCTCTGGAGAGTGGAGCTGCAGCGGGAGCTCTCTGTACCTGAGTGGGGGGGGGTGGAC